TTAAAGCGATGAAGGATTGATAGTAGAATTTTCCCACAACGATAAGAGTATATTTTACCCTTGTTTTATTCGAACGTTCTGTTGTTGAGAGAAAATTGCTAGTTAAAATAAAATTCAGTGATCTATGCATGGTTATCTCTTGGATTTTGATTGGCATGATTTTTGCAAAATTAATAAAGTCGGATTTCTTCCTTTGGTAATTGTAATATAGTTTATAAAGCATCTTTGGAGGCAAAGGCAAATGAAATTTAATTACGTCGTGAAGCTATAGCGATGCTTTTCTTTCTTCTTTACAATAAATTTTGCTATCTGAGGAATAGAAAATAAAAGCTTTTATCATATAGATTTAACTTATTTTTTTGTATTATTTAAGCTACAGATGTGTATAGTTATGGTTATATCTTTTTTTGCAACTTAGTCGGAGCATTGGGGAGACCTTGTGGAACGTACCTAGTCCCGTGTCTTCTTCCATAGTATTCATGATTTCCAGCATTAAACCTTTGGCTGAGTACATTGTCAAATGTACACATCACTCATCGCTCCTATTTTTTTCTTCTACCTTCTAGTGCCGCATCTCCTTCTCTCAACCCTACTTCATATGGCACATCCACTTATTCACACAATTCTGAATTAGGGTTGAGAGAAAGCGATGTGGAATTATAAAGTAGAACAAAAATAGGGTATTGATGCCACAACGGTTAAACAGAAAATTTGTCAAAGGGATTGTCTTCACTTTTCACTTTGATATGTTGTAACTCGGTACTTATGATGGCGCCTCTCACAAACGAGGCCGGCGAAACGTTTGGGATGTATCGAGCCAATGGTAGAGTGCTGAAAATCACGAATACTATGGCAGATAACACGGTACTGACATGCTCCACAAGGTCTCCCAGACGCTTGGGCCAAGTTGCGAAAATAAGGTCGAGCCAACACTAGGGCTAAATGAGACTGCGACCAAACAGAAGGCCACACAATCTTGGTATTCATATTTACATATGTATGTTTATGCTATTTTTGTTCTGACATTTCTACAGCTCAGTAACCAACTAAGCCTTAATATGCATACTAATTGCTCAAACCACTCGATGTTCCTTCGATTAATTATTATTTTGTCTAAGCCTCTGTTTATGCACTCATGCTGCTTTGATTACACCTTAACCAATTAGTTTGCTAGTAAGGTTTATTGTTGGGGGACTTTTATTTCGTGTGAAAATGGATGAATAAGAGATTCGTAGGTTGATCTCACCAGAAGAGGATGGGTGAATCCCGTTGTACTTCAGCCGTTTGGCTTTTATACGACGTTCATGTTGACACATTCCATCAGAAGTCCTCCCTTTTTTCGTATGA